ACACAACACTCTGCATGTAGCTGGCTTCCGGGAGTCCGCCACTTGTCTCAAAAATAATACATTTTAAAACCCTACCCTTCCATAAATAGCGAGGTCCCAACAAGCAATGGGCATCAGACATCATCTAAAATCACATATACTATTCTCACTAGATATTACCGTCAGTCTGTTAAAATGGCCTTCAATAGACTTGTTGATACCCTATTTGGCATCGATTAATAAAAATGCGACATGTGGCAAAATAAACGAGGGATAAAATATATATTAGAAATAGCAGGTTCTCCGAGCTGATCCTTTGATATCAATCGAGTTCCCAAAAGTCAAGATCGTCCACATCCGAGCCGAGCATAATTAAATATCACTAGCATGACCCGAATATCGCGAAGATTAGTCTCCGGTAGACACAATAATTGCCGATAAAGTAGACGTTAATCGAATCCGACAAGTGTCATGATCGGGCCCCACGATGTCATCTCACATTAAATGCTCTTGTAATAGTTTTTTTTCTATGGCCCACTTGTTAGGCATATAAAAGGAGGAGGTCCTCCACAAATCAAAGGAATAAAAGTTCCATTTTTCATAATTTCCACCTTTGATATTCATACAAAAATTCAAGACCAATTATTCATAGAAATATGGATGTAATTTTACGTTGATACAATTTCGTATATCAACAAGACTCTTGTAGTAAAGAGGTCCGGGAGCAACACAAATCTCTCAATAAACCCCCAGTGCAACAATGCACCACCTACTTCGTCGCCTGTCTTGTTTTCTTATTTCTTTTATCATATTTTTTTCCGTCCTTATTTACCTAAAAAACACTAATCACACTCCCTAAATAGCATACTACCACTTTGTACTCTTGTTGACAAAAACACACGGCAATAAGTTTTATATATCCAAATAAATTTTATTTTCTTGGTAAATTNGCAATAAGATTTTGCATTTAGCTAACCGATTAGTTAATTTTAGTATTTTACCAAATATATATAATATATGAATTAAATTTTAATCAACCATAAATTATTTTAACAAATATTTCTGTTGTAACAATTAACTTTTTAGTCATGAACCATCAACTATTAGACATCGACTTCAAATTACAAATAAGTTATATATGTCATTAGAGAGAGTTCCTCACATATCACATTAACATGTGTCCAAAAATTACCTATCGAGGGATCATAATTTTTGAAATACAAAACCGATGTCTATGTGCGTTATTTTTCTAACACATCAATTTGTTGATATATAAATTCACCACTATAGGCATTAGAGTGAGATTATATACTATAAATGAAATTTTTATCATATATATTTTAAGGGTAATGCTCACCTACTCACGGTGGACACGTGTTAATATGTCCACCGCTTATGTGGCATGCACACATTTGTGATGTTAATATATTAAAAAAAATACATCACCAATGTATGCATGCTACATAAACAGACATATTAACATGTGTCCATCATACATAGTTGAGTATTTTCGTATATTTTAATTCATATCTCATTCTATTTAATATACACATGAGAATAATGGCAATAAAAAAATAAAGTTCATCCTAAAAGATGAAAGAGGAAAAAACTCGAAAAAGAGATGAAATCTCCCCATACGACAAAACAAAATAGTGCGACTTTTTTTAAATATACATTAAATAATAAATCATACCTAGGTAATTTACTTTTTTCTGTACCGGTTTTCTAGAAACTGCAGAACGCCCCTTTTCAGAAACACCGCAGAGATTGACCACTGCTTCAAGAAACAGAAAAAGGTACAACCTTTGACAGACAGCTGCTGCTCGTATTTTTTTTTTTTTTTNTAAAAAAAGTTTATTCTAATAGCAGTATTTCTCAATTTTATCCCATACATTATTATTATCACATATATATTAAAAAATATACATACATTAAGATATTTATTTATATTACGGAATTTATTAATTGTTTCCTGATTCAACGACCGAACAAGAGGGGAGGAGAAGTTGCCTTGTTTGGCACGTCTGTATTTCATCACAAAATCAAAACTATAAATACATTGCTTTTTTGACTCCCCTTTCTCTTTCCCCTTCCTTTCTCTCTCCTTTTTGCTGTAATTTTTTTTCCGATTTTAGGGTTTCTATTTAAACCTGCCGTTGTTAAGGTATATTTTTCTCTACCTTCAGCGGACCCTTTTGCCCGTTTGTTGCCGTTGGGTTATGCCCTTTTGGAGCTATTTCATTCTGACGCTGTGAATTGGACAATCGTCCTTTACCAGGTGCGTGTATTTTGCAATTATTTTTTTGTATTGTTATTTTTTTTTTATCGTTGTCTCTTTATGTCATGAATAATGTCACCATGCTCTTGATATTAAATTAATCTATTATAAGATCAAATCTTCTCTTGAAATTTAATTAATCTGTTATAAGATCAAATCTTGTCCTTTACAAAAGTGATTTTTTGGGAATGTCAGTCATGGAATGAAAAATAAGAGGTATAGAGTTTAATTCCGGCACAGACAAATTCTTCCAGAATTTGATTGATTATTTATTCTGTTTTTACATGAGGAAGAAGAAAACCACGAATTTGACTATTCAGATGAACGTGTGTGTTAATGTTTATGGGATTTATTTTATGTTTTTCTATTTATATATATTTTATTGGGCATTTCGTGAATCTTGGCTTGACTCAACAATTTATTTATTCCTCTTTTGTATATGTCGGTTGCTGTTTAGACGTTAATTTGATAGGTTGGTTAATGCGTCTTAATCGGTCGTTTTTTTTTGTGTTTTACTATGGAAACATAGGAAATACTTTATCAAGGGCCTCCCATTATCGTGTCCCACCTCGCACAACACATGACATCATTTATGTGTGTGTGTGTGCATTTTTTTTTTTTGTGAGCTTTTTGTATGTTACATTCATAAGTCAAACGCCGCTTGGAGATTCATGGGGCCAAATATGCAGAGATGGTCATTCTCAAGAACTTTTTTATCTGACATCAAATGAGCATTACAATGGTGGGATCTACATGGAATTATCCCAAAATGATTGTTTTAAATTTCAATTTTCCAAGTTATCTACCAATTATAGGCAAAATTTCAAAAAAAGATGCACAAAGTTGGCCTAATTAGTGTTTTTTTTTTGTTGGACAATCATAAACATTTAACAACGAGCTTTTATTCTCTTGTTACATGAATGCTACTATGCTTTCAGTACTATTGAAAATGTGTATATCTACCCGTCTATTAAATTTGTCATGAGCGGTGGATATGATTTGATCCATCTATTTTATATTGTGTAGTCTATTAATACAGTCAAGCAGTGAGGACCATGAACTACACAAGTTATGATATTAATATTTTGATATGATGACTATATATACCTAGCATGTGATTCTTGAAATATTTGAATGTGTGGGCTCATCAGAAAATTATAGATGAATAATATATTTGAATATATCAATAACATCAAGCTTGAAATTAATATTTGCGTATTCCTTTTGATTGTAATTTGTTTATTTAGGTGGGTGTGTGGTCATGTTATTAATCGTTGCAATAAGCAGATGGCAGCATTTGAAGAGAGGGTCTTATTTCATGTCTCTCTAATTTTAATCTTTTTGTTTTTGGCACTGCTAAAATTAATTCAAATACTTGGGAGGAAATATAATCTTTGTCTGAATGAAATTTGATTGGCTTTTATATTATGTAAACTGAAAATTTATAAATACATATATGTGTTAGGACTAAGAGCATTGTAGATCATCGGCTGGTGTTTGCTAACACTAAGGGTGATCATGATCAGGATTCAAACCTTATGTTTTTTCGTTTAGTCTTTTTCTCTTGGTCCTTATATCTTCCTTCTACTCCTTATTGCATTTTGTATGTAGGTAGACAAACTCATATTTAATTGTTAATCTAGGAGCATGCACCTGTTAGTGTTTTCTCACATAGTTTTTTTCCTCCTTCAAGCTCTTTTGTGTTTTCACACGTTGTGAGGGAAGTAAATAGTTAGATCTGTTCAAAGCCCATCTCTTTTTTCATTCAGAAACAAAATGTGAAATGCGTCACGTAAGTGCACTAGCGTGCTTTTCCGCATTTGCAATCAGAAAAGACACCACCGCAACCTTTACACACGTTTTTTTTCAAGTCACTCTAGGACTTTCTCAATTATATTTTATTTAGTTTACTAACCGTGACGTATGTATTCTTAACTCAATGTGCTTTATTTATCGGCAAGATTTGTATCTTTCTTCTGACTTTAACGGAAACTTTGTTAGGCGGTTTCAATTTCATCTCTTATGGTTATGGTGTTTTTTTTTTTTTTCCCCTTAATAAAAGATGGCAAAACTTGGCATAGGTGAAGGCATTCATTACTACATCTTAAGAAGTTCGATCAAAGAAGTTGGCTTATAAGTCCTCCATTGTACTCATTTTTGTTTTAATACGTTTTGAGTATTTTAGTTTCTTAGAAAAAATTAGTACAGGTCTATCATGCTTTGTGCCATACAAACTCATTATAGTGCTGAAAATGATGTAGATGGTGTATCAAGCCCTGTTATTCCCAATTGATTATAAAGTTGGATCGTGATTCATTTTGTTCGTAATTAATGTTTGCTTTTGCAATTTCAGGAGAAAAAAGACGGTTCTCGTGGATAATCTACATTTTCAGAATTTATTTGACGAAAAGATGATGCTTTTCCCTGTATAAATGCATTGTGTCTTTGAAGATGAGGTATATATATCACGTGATTTTCGTAAAAATCCCATTTTTTTTGCAGGATGATCGTGTTTCTCTTTTTCCTTTTCCTAAAAAGAAAGATTTCAGTCAAAAATATTGATTCGTTCGCGCGTTAATATAACCGTAATTTTATGCTGTCGATCAGATTTCGCGAATCCTCAGATTAATGGAATGCTGTAACAGAATCACATTGAAAAGGTGGTTTTTCATCGATAAAAGGGTGGGTTAGTAATAGGGCTATTATCCGCCGTGTTTTCTGAATTATACCGCATCAGATCATTAAAAAAAAAAAAAAAANGAATTCCGATGGACGTTAAGTCAACAAAATCCTCGCCGGTTCTCACGGACCCTGCCTCGCTGAACAAATCGAGGCTGGGGATTCGTTCGGGCCTCCTGCCTTGCTCACAATCAAGCGGGCCCACTTTCCCTAAAAGCATTCCCACTGTTCCAAGAAAAAAGCCCGTAAAACTCGGTGATGTTCGATACAACGGCTGGTTGGACTCCATGAAATCATCTTCTCCTCCTCGCAAGAAGATCCTCAAGGATTTCAACGGTGCTGAGTTCGTCTCTGATGATGCTGAAATTGCTTATCTCTCTTGGAAGGTGCATAATAATTGTTATCGTTATTGTTGAACCGTGTTTCAATATTTCTTTTATTGTTATATATTTTTTTGAGATCAATCTTGATATAGTTATCCTGTTATTGGGTTCTCGTTGCAGATTAAGTATCCATCGGCCCTCGATTCTTTTCAGACGATTGTAGATCGTGCGAAGAATAGAAAGTTGGTCGTGTTCTTGGATTATGACGGCACGCTTTCGCCGATCGTGGATGACCCTGATCGAGCTTTTATGTCTGATGTCGTAAGAAATTTGATGATTCAGCGATTGATTGATTGCAGTTACTTTTACTCAATTTCGCGATTTTTTTTTTTTTTTTTTTTNATTTTTTTTTTTTTTTTTTTTATCATGTGATTGAAGTGAGATTTGATTTTATCAGATGCGATCTGTTGTAAGGAGTGTCGCGAAAAATTTTCCGACCGCCATCATCAGTGGGCGAAGTCGAGATAAGGTGGGATACGCAAAATTCTTATTAGAAAAGTCGTGTAACTATTTTTAATGTTTTTGCTAAGATTTTGATTTATATTATACTGTATTGTTGTTTTCAGGTTTATGAATTGGTAGGGCTTAGTGAACTCTATTATGCCGGCAGTCATGGAATGGACATCATTTTCCCGGCCAAAGACTCGGTTAATCCAAAAAACCATCAAAATTGTGTGAAATCTTCCGATCCCAAGGTATATATTTGGTCATTGTTCAATTTTTTGTCTAATATAATATATGATTGTGCGAAAATTACTGTTTTTTTCATTTTGGGCATGTGCAGGGAAAGGAGGTTAATTTATTCCAGCCGGCCAGTGAATTTATACCTATGATCGACGAGGTTTGTTATTTTTCAAAACGGAACAAAAACTATCCATGTGCAGAAAAAAACATCGTCCGGGTTGAAAAATAACCATTTTTCTGAAATTTTTGTTGGTTTTCCAGGTTTTCAGAAAGTTTGTTGATATTGCGAAAGACATAGAAGGCTCGAAAGTTGAGAACCATAAGTTTTGTGTCTCTGTACATTACCGCAATGTAGAGGAGAATGTAAGCATTAAACTAATTCCCTCCTCTCCCTTCAATTTTACCAAATGTCTCAACTTTTTTTTTCTTGTTAAACATTTTGTCTTCTTTTCNTGCTCTGATTAATAGGTTTTGGAGGTTCGTCCGGTGATTGACTGGGACAAGGGGAAGGCAGTTAAGTTTCTTCTAGAGTCTCTAGGTAAGTCAGTCTAATACAACTACCGATCTAGACTTTTTTTTCTTTTTTTTTTCTGATTGTTATGAAAACTTGAAAAAACAATTACAATTTAATTGGTCATGTAGGATTTAGCAACCGTAATGATGTTCTCCCAATTTATATTGGGGATGACAGAACAGACGAAGATGCATTCAAGGTAATAAGATAAAACACAATAACCTCAATATAGAATGCCTCAATATTTCTATATTTTTTTTCTTTTTTTTTTTTTGGACTTGGTGTTAATGTGATTTTCTCGTTTCCTACAGGTGCTGAGGAAGAAAAATCGTGGCTATGGTGTCCTTGTATCAGCTGTTCCGAAGGAGAGCAGCGCATCTTTTTCTCTTAAGGATACTTCAGAGGTAATTAAGATTAGACACTGATGTATTGTTTCTTCTTAATTATGCTCTTCATAGTTTTTAAATTTATTGTAATTCTCATTGGAGGAATATTATATTATTGGTAATAATTTTGTGCAGGTTCAAGATTTCCTGGAAGCACTTGTGAAAATGGCAGAAAAGGATGTTAACACAGATGAAGCAAATGCAGATAATACAGACTAATTTGATGATAAATTGTAGGTTTTTTTCTTAAGTGTTTTATGTCTTTTATCTTTGGATTTTGTTTTGGCAGTTTGTTGCCCAAGTAATTTTTATTTCCAGTACTGTAGATTATTATATGCTTTTGCCTCAAGTTTTTGTTGATGGTGGTATATGAGGCACAACCTCTTTTAAACAACTGTGTGAAAATGATTCTGATATTTTTCTTTTGAAGCAAAAATACACCATCATTTTCTAGAATTAAAGTCAGATGATATTAATTCTCTTTTGTTATTGTGAGCCACAATTAGTAATGCACACTTGAAATGATGTGAGATGGAGTTAAATGTTTTTGTTATACTTTTTGTGATTTTAGTCTTAATTCGAGTTTATCCGAGCTCATTTTAGATGTTCTTCGAACTAGTTTGGAAGAACTTTGTTGACAGTGCTGGACCAATTCATAAGGGCCCAATTTTAGCCCGTGTATAATATTGTCAATGTAGCCCAACTTGAAAGATGGTCACAAGACAGCCCATATTGTGGCCTATATTCATAAGAGGGACAAGCGGCTGCTCCTAGAGTATATAGGGGTGAGGTGGTTAGTGTAGAAGAGAGAGCATGACATTACTATTTTCTTCGCTGAGAGCATCTTCAATGCATTGGGTCTAGTCTTGTCTATGTAGCAAGTAAATAAACTCAAATCTTATATGACATGGATAAAACTATGTAAAATTAATAAAATTCACTCCAATGCAAAGAAACTAGGTCTCTACTTGGGTCTAAAATAGACTTAAGAGGAGACCGAGTCTCTTTTTTTGGCTGTCACATCAGCAGGATTCAGTCTACTTTTATTTGCATTGGAGAATATATTCTTTTAGACTGAGTCTATTTCTTATGTGACATGTAATTTTTTGGGATTGAACCCAAAACATTATGAATGCTCTTATCTTGCAAATTAATGAGGATGTCGAACCATACATTTCATTGACTATTTAATTGAAAGCAAGCTAGTTTATGAACATTTGTGAAAAAATCAAGGTCGCTAGCCAATAAAAAAAATTATAAATTTAATTGTGTAACAAAATATCTAGTTATAATAATCAATATCCCATTTTATATCGGATTATTTAACAACTAGAAATTTTCAATAACAATTTAGTATAAGAATCAAACGAAGCAAATAAAATAAAATAAAATAAATGGGAAATGAGAGGAATCATAACAATTAAAAAAAAAAAAAACAAGAGTTGTATTAATAAACATTGTAATTACATATTAGAAAACAGTTAAAAATAACAGAATAAATCAACCAACTTAGCTGAATCTAGGGGAAGGTCTATAAAGCGATAGCCTAGAATCGGAAATGAACTAAACAAAAGCTACCTATCTCCCACTCGAAAGAATCAAACCACGCCAATAATATAATGAAGAATACTCCACAAAGCAAAATACAAGAAAACACAAAACAAGCACAAAAAATAACTAATAAATAGAATAAAGCCCTCCGGCCTTCCATCGCAATCTCCACTTCAAACAAAAAATTCAAAAACAGCATCCTAGACGGGCAAGAACGCAATCAATACACTAAGATCTGAGAACTCTGAAACAACTCAATTGGCTAGAAAAATCCTGAAAACACCACAACTTCGGGATTGTCTCAAATCTCCTTCACCACCTTCAACAAGCCAAGAGACTCTGGATCAAAATCCCACACACAAGGAGCAAATTGAAACTGAAACCCTCAAATCCAAGCCGAAAAGCTTAAATCGAGGGGGAGACCGGCATAGAAAAGTGAGGAGCATGGTAAAAACAAAGGCGGCGGGGCCGACCGTAGGGGACGAGAGCGGCAACAATTTTTGTTTTGAAGACTTGTGCTGCAGAGAAAAGCGATAGGGAGATGATAAGGCTTTCTATTGCTTAACAAACACAAAAAATGCCCAGGTTAACAATAACTGAAGTGCACCACACCAAATAAGTCGAGTTTCTGCGCCAAGCTTTGTGCATAACTCAACTTTGAACAACCGGTAAAGTCTTGGGAGAGATTCTCTACAAAAAGACGCTAATGCATAAGTCAGATGAATTGTGTAAAGAAAGATACTAGGAAATTTAATGGCAACGTAGGATTATAATGAACAAAGAAGTTCTGGTTACATGTAATCACAAGATTCTTTTGGATGGTAAGGAATTCCTCAAACATAGGCTCTTCTTCTATTCATAGATATCAGAAAATCTTCTCCTCACTTACGGTATTGATAAAATTATTAGTTGCAGTAGAAGTCTGTAGACGATTTTGCTATGGAGTTGTCGGATGACACGATTTATAAAACCATCTATAATTATCGACACGTATCATACAATAAGTACACTTTAAACAAGTATCAATGTATGAAGTTATCGGTGGGGAGCCATATGCTATCCATAAAATTTCTAAATCTATAGATTATAAGATATTTGCTTGCCCTCTCATATATAATTTGAGGTTGTTAACACCACCAGCCATAACTAGCGAACCATGAACTACCAAGTGGACATTTCTCCATGCTAAACAGAGCCACGAGCCATTATCCCACACAACGGTTTATCAAGCTGTTACACAATGTTACATCAATTACAATACAATTGTACAAAAGAACATATATATATTCCTTACCATTATCAAATTTGTAAAAACCTAACCACCGAGCTCCAACGCATTCTGACAAATTCTTAATGAGCTCAAGTTGTGTTCAGCCAAAGGAGTCCATTTCAATACTCCTTGCACAGTGAAATAATTTTCTCCTTAGAGAAAAGGCTCTAAAAGGCTAAATAAGCTCCAAGCCTTCAACCTTATCCCGTTACATATTTACACCCATCGAACAAACAATAATTGCAATAAAAGAGAATCATATGGTGGTGGAGACACAGCATTTTCTGATCAATAAAAGGAAATAATACTCGTGGATTCAAGCGTATATGAACTGGCTATTGGCTGTCAAATTGTCAATACACCCCACCCCACTGTGTGAAGATACTCCCCCTCTCTCTCTCTCTCACACACACACACACAAATCTTTAGTCATCACTCATCACACACTGGATTATTTGATTTATTTCCTATGGTTGAACCAACTGCGCTTATTATAATTACTTTTCTTGCATGCTTAAAAGTCATATATAGTGTGGCCAGTGGGCACCTGCAACCGACAAAAGCATACAAGAAATCCTGTCCAAACCCTACAACGCTTACCCATACACATTTACCCCTCCCAACAAACACAATAATAAAAATTCCACTAGCAGCAAGCAGTAAGCACTACAAATTAGAGCCGTTATCTCACTACCCTTTTGGACTCACACGCTCGTATACTTATTGCTGTCTATTATCCTGTTACTTTCCTCTCTCTCCTCCGATAATGTAAACAGAGCAAAGAAAAAGCAAGGGAAAACTTTCTTGTGCTTTGGCTTTTGACTCTTTCTATTGATTTTTTGAGAAATCTTGTGGTTTACTCGATATGGCTGGTTCAAGATTATTCTGGGTCTTGGTTATCCACATTTGCTTGCTGCTGGGCTCTTCTTCTGCTGATGACCCTTTTGTTAACTATGAGTTTGTGGTCTCATACATTACTGCTTCTCCACTTGGTGTCCCCCAGCAGGTATGTTTCTTTTTTCCCTTTTTTCTTGGTTTGTTTTGCATCTAATTAAGATTCGGCAAATTTTTGTCTCAATTTTTGAATCCGTTTATCTTTTTCTCGTTTGGTCATACGGGCCTGCTTAGAATTTCCTTTTAGCGGATGGGGTTCGCTTTAGATTTCTTAAAGTTCGAATCTTTAGCTTCAGATCTGGTAATGTGGTGTAAAGATTCGATTTTTTTTTTTTCTTGAAATGTCTGCTGTAGATTCAGAAGTTATGTTAAGTAATGGAAGTTCCGTTTTTAGGTCAATAATTCAGCGTTGAACCCTATTTTCATGAGCCAGTTGTTTGGAGTTTATAATATGTCTTGAAATTAAAAAATGGGAATGCTGTGTGCACCTGCAGGTGATTGCTATTAATGGCCATTTTCCAGGCCCCACCATCAACGTGACCACTAACAACAACGTTGTTATCAATGTGAGGAACAGATTAGACGAAGGCCTCTTGCTCCATTGGTACCATATTCTTTACAATCTTTCATTATTAGTTGTTTGTGAAAAAGAGTCTTGTAATTTTTTTAGGAAAATGACAATATTTAGTTTATGGTTTGTTTTTGAGTGAAGGTCTGGGATACAGCAGAGGAGGTGTTCATGGCAAGATGGTGTTCTCGGCACAAATTGTCCCATCCCTCCCAGATGGAACTGGACTTATCAGTTTCAGGTCAAGGACCAAATTGGAAGTTTCTTTTATTTCCCTTCCCTCAATTTCCAGAGAGCATCCGGAGGTTTCGGCTCATTCATCATCAATAATCGACCGATTATCCCTATTCCTTTTGACACCCCTTATGGGGATATCACGATTCTAATCGGAGATTGGTACACTCAGAACCACACGGTGAGTGCTTGTTGCTGGTTATCAGTAGTTCAAGTTTTAGGGAGATGTTTTAGTCTTCAAGCTTTTATTAGTGAAGGTTGAAAATTTTATTTTGTATCTGTTTAGGCATTGAGGAGAATCCTCAATTCTGGGAGAGATCTCGGCATGCCGGATGGGGTTCTGATTAATGGAAGAGGGCCTTTTAGGTATAATGACACTCTTGTCCCTGCTGGCATTGACCATGAAACGATCACGGTCCACCCAGGTGAGTGACAGGAGTTGTGATTCAACACTATAATGTAGTGTTTTTATATGTATGACATTAAGTCAACATTGATAAGTCAACACTGTTATCATTGTTACCTTTTGATAAGCTTTATGCTTGTTAGATCTGTAATCATAGTATCTAGTGAGAGATCTTGAGCTGATATATGGTTGAACTATTTCATGTAATATTTTATATCTCTAACATCAAAAGTCACGAAAACACCCAAGCAGTAATCTCTTGCTAAGTGAAATTTTCCTGGTAAGAGGACTTTACTATGGGATATGGAATGATCCAACAGATTCATGAACTTCACAAAACTCGCCTATTGATATTTGATTTACGTCTCCAATGTCATGACCCAAATTCATGCAGAAGGTGTGCTGTGAATGAACGATACTAACTAAATTAAATCTGCATTTCCTTTTTTTTCATTTTTCTTTTTAGTTTGCCTCTTATGTTTGATTCCTCATTTTTGTATTTACTTTCACCCCGTTTCACTTAAAATTATCATTTCGCTAAAGGCAGCTAGTGCTGTGATACATTCACAGGCAGGACTTACCGAATTCGTGTAAGCAATGTCGGGATTTCTACTAGTCTCAACTTCAGAATCCAAAACCACAACTTGCTTCTGGCGGAGTCAGAGGGCTCGTATACTGTGCAGCAGAACTATACGAGTTTAGACATTCACGTTGGCCAAACTTACTCGTTCCTGGTGACCATGGATCAAAATGCGAGCAGTGATTATTACATAGTTGCGAGTCCCAGGTTCGTGAACGAGACCACGTGGCAAAGAGTCACTGGTGTTGGCATCTTACACTACACCAATTCAAGAGGACCTGCATTTGGTCCTCTCCCGCAAGGACCGCAAGATCAATTTGATAAGACCTTCTCCATGAACCAGGCGAGATCTATCAGGTGCTTCTCCTTTCAAATTCTATATCTTTCATAAATATGCTTTGCGTCTATTAGAGAGAGAAAGAGAGTCGTAAGCTTTAGTTGGAAAAGTTCACCAAATCTCAGCTTCCAACTATTTGCAAAAATTAATAAAGTTATGATTCTCATCTATTTTGCTTCTGCTGCAGGCTTGCAATATGAGTATTTGCACTAAAAGCTGAAGTTTTTATCGCAAAACCACGCTCTTGGTCTAGTAGTTGTCCAATCTTATAGTGATTTTGTTATATATCAATAGAAAATAATGTAAACTAGCTGGAGAAATATTTGAAACCAAAGAGAGACACATTATAAATTATTGAACTTGATAATAACATGAATAGAAGATAAGGCAGACCACTTCTTTTCTTCTCAAAAAATATTGTCAGTCAATAATTATTACATTGCACACAACACAGCATCATGTTTTTTTACGTCATTGCAGGTGGAATGTGACGGCTAGTGGGGCCCGCCCGAATCCTCAAGGCTCATTCAGATACGGCTCGATCAACGTGACTGAGGTTTATGTCCTTAGGAACAAACCCCCAGAGATGGTTGATGGGAGGCTGAGAACTACACTTAGTGGGATTTCCTTTGTCAACCCTTCCACGCCAATCAGGCTCGCTGACCAACATAACGTGAGGGGAGTATACAGCCTCGATTTCCCTACTCGGCCGCTCACGGGCCCACCTCGAAGGGCTACATCGATCATCAACGGTACCTATAAGGGATTTATGGAAATCATATTGCAGAACAATGATACCAAGGTTCAAACTTATCACATGAGTGGTTATGCGTTTTTTGTGGTCGGGTACTGTTTCCAGCTTCCCTTTTCCCTGACTCTTACTTCACGTTTAAACAGTTATTTTCTAACGAGGCTTGTTCTGTTGAATTTACTTGTTTTGCTTATTTGACTTGAATTTTTACAGTATGGACTACGGTGAGTGGACGGAGAATAGTAGAGGCACGTACAATAAGTGGGATGGGATTGCTCGAAGTACAGCTCAGGTGCGCATATTATTATGGATTATATGCTTATATCAATCAAGTCATTTTTTTATTTATTTATTTTTTTTTCTCAATTCTTGATTTTTGAACTTGTAATGAAACATGAGAGAGGTAGTTCTACTATTATATCTAACCTGAAATGCTTCTAACTATTGCATTGAGCTCTTCATAATTTCAGATCTGAATTTCTATATTTTTCTGGTTTATATTGACAGGTTTATCCTGGAGCTTGGACTGCTATCCTGATCTCCCTGGACAATGTCGGTGTTTGGAACCTGAGAACAGAAAACCTTGACTCGTGGTACCTTGGACAAGAAACCTACGTGAGGGTTATAAATCCCGAGCCTAATAACCAAACCGAGTTCTCAGCTCCAGATAATGTCTTATTCTGTGGTGCACTAAGCCGACTACAAAGGTACGTTCCTCCGCTTTCATGTATTACCTTTTTCTCTTTATCCATTCGCTCAATGTTATATTTTTCTTTCTTCTCAGGCCACAAGACATATCTTTTGCCACGTCAGTCAAGAGCAGCACGCAGAACCTATTGTTCGGTTTCGTGCTCATGATGATGTCAGTGCTGTTTTCCGCGTTCAATTGAGAAGCTCCATTAGAACTTGCATGAATGAATTATCTCTCTCTATGTTGTTTGCCGGGAGCCCGACTTTTGTTTTTCTCAGTGAGGACTTGTGTTTTTCGGTTAAAAGAAATTTAGGAAGATGTAATGCTAGTAAATTGTTGATATGATTATTTTTAACCTCTATTTTTTCTTTGTTTTACCTTATCATCGGGCAGTGATCATATGCTCCCGGTGTCGCTTGCTTGTGCTTGGATTTTTTTATCATTCTTTCATCACCTTATAACTTAATTGTAATGTTGACGATTATCATCAATTTTTCTTCGTAAGCTTCGTCGTAAGTTTAGGTGTCACATTTGATTGGTCTTGCTTCCATGATTAGGTTGGGTAACATATTTTCCAGTTCTTGAAATTCTTGTTTGAGATGATTCTTGAGTAGCTAAAGTTGATTTATCAAATTCAATCATCAGTGAATTCAGTTCATAGTTCATACACCTTCCACAAAATTTGAATTCTTCCATTCATATGCAAATGCAAGGGTAATGAGAATAGAAGTCAACATGGGCTGCTCTTTTTAGTTGGTTTTTATTTAATTATTATTTTTATTTTTCTTTTTTTGGTAAAACATGACAGTGACAGTGCATGTGCATGCTGATCACAGTCATAGATCTGAGAACGATATGCAGACCTTTTGAGGAATAGAATAACAATCTTTAGGGGTGTCTTGATTGGATAGAGAAAAAGCCAGCTTGTCAAATGCCATTCTTTTATCCAATCTATTCATGTGACTGGCAACTGGTTGCTGTTTGAATATCGACAAACTTTGAAATTTGAATATTGGTTGGGTGGCTGGATCTCA